TGTTTTATTTCGTTTCTTTTTCTCCTGTGTTTCATTATTAATCTGTAATAATTGATCAATAGTTGTATCAACAACACCATTATTGGCACGTAATATAGCTTCAATAATATCTTCTTCCATATCGGGAAACATATGTTTAAAATCGGACATTGCCTGATTAAATTCCAGTTGTGTAACACCGGATGATGATGATGAATTTGATGGATACATTCTTTTTGATAATGATGATTCTTTCCAAAAAAACAGATAGAGAACAAAATGAGACGATGATTCAAAAAATGAATGAGAAATTTGAGAGAAAAATCGGTTTTGAAGAAATCGAGTGGAGTTTTTGGATTGATTGATTGATTGATCAGGTTAAAAACATTCGAATTTATTTCGAATGTTTTCGTTGTCGTTGTTCCTGTTGAATTTGACGTAAAATTTCAACAACTTCAGGTGAATTCATTAATTTCTATCGAAAGAAAAACAGAAGAAAATATGAAAAAAAATGAATCATTAATCGATTGATTGATTTGGGGTACAAACCATTTTCTTTTGATTTAAAATATTTTGAATTTGTTTTTGTAAATCAATTTGTTTAAATGAATTTGATTCTATTGATGTTGAATGATTATTGCCACCACCACCACCATTGATAATCGTTATTCCATCCGATGATGATGACGAAGATGACGATGAAGAAGATGTCGATGTTGTTGTTGTTGTTGATAATGGTGATGAAATCTTTGGATTCATTTCTTATGAAAAAAAAGAAAAAATTTCTACATCAAAGATAATTCGAATTGTTTCGAATGATAATCGTGGCCATAACTGTTTATTATCATCAATCAAAATAATCATTTGAAACAAAAATTGACATTGATAAATCAATCAATCAATCAATCGATCGATAATGATAAAAACAACAAAAAAAAACCAAAACAAAAATAAACCGAGCTCAATTTGTTAAATAAATTGATGCAATAAAACAAAAACAAAAACAAAAATTCAATAATGATCGATAGATGGCGACTCTAGTTCTGAA